CCCCCCCCCCCCCCCCCCCCCCCAGGCAAGGTAAGTAGGATCCTCCTTTTTCAATGCACAAGTTCTGATGGGGGGACCTATTCTGTCAGGGCTTTTATACGGTCACATTCGGCACAGAGAAGTTGAGTTTGCGGAGAGAGCAGTTCACATTTATTAGACATGTGCTAGCTAGCTCGTTAGAGGTCCTATGGGGTCTGACACTTGTCCCCTCAAACTAGCCTGAGAGTAATCAAAATGCTGTGAGAAAAATATACCTCCACGGAAATAAATGGAAGGAAAACTACTTCAACGGAAGAGATCTCTCCTGGCCGCGAGTTTCCATGACGATGTTTTGTATCATCCACGAGATAATATGAAGTTCACAACGTCGGCGTATTCTTCCTGTCACTCACAACAATTGATAATATCTCCACTCCAGTTAATCACAGCTTTTTACTGTTTACAACAAACAAACCTGGGGGTTGACACCGGGCGCCTGTGGCGTTTGACATTCGCAGGTTCTCCTGTCTGTCTACTATCTCCGGATAACCCTCAGAGCGAATGTCATCGATATGGTCATTGTCAAATGGCGTAGAAGGTCAAGGTACCAAGATGGTGCTTGTACGGGGAGTGGACCACTTTGCTAGCTGTATGCCCTTGCTCTATCGCCTGTTAGCCATTCTCATCCATGCTCAGCGTTCCATACGGGAAGGTCTGACCTGGGCACGTCTTGAACATCCGAACGTCATCAACCTGAAGGGAATAACGACAGACCCTGCGAAGGACCGGATCTGCCTTGTGTCGGACCGGATGACGAACGGGAACCTATTGCAGTACCTTGAACGGCATCCAGACACGAACCGTGTGTCACTGGTGTGTGGTTTATAAACTTCACAAGGAACGCGTGTTGATTTTGGGAATGTTACGTCTTCGGGCTGAGCAGGGCGCTTCGGTATCTCATGGTCTGGCGCCGCCCATCACACATGGGGATATTAAAGCGGTTTGTTGAATTCGCGTTACGCGTGTCCTTTCTTCATCCTTGCGCAGAATAACATCCTCATTTCCAGACATGGCATCCCCCTGCTGAGCGACTTCGGGCTCGCATTCGTGCTGGATGACCCAGCAACGATGATGATGACGAACGCGACAACGAGTGGAGCGCTGAACCCCCCTGGGCGGCGCCGGAGCGTCTGCGGGGCGACCGTAAGAGCCCGGAGCTGCGGAAGGTGGGGTTGGGTCGCGGGTGGATGGACGCACCAGGCGGGTGGACGTGTTCCCCATGGGGCGGACATTCTTCGAGGTATATGTGCTTTCCCACCCAGTTATCGACCGCTGACCTAAGAGGGACAGATTTTCACGGGAAAGATCCCTTTCATAGAGCACAACGAATGGGCGACCTTTCTACAAAGTCATCCGTGGTGAGCATCCAGCCGGAACGATGAGCCCGCCTGGCGCGGCGTGCAGGAAGAGATGTGGAGAATCATCTTCACCTGTTGGGCGATGGATCCTGTGCTACATCCTACTGCAGCCATGGTAGACAGCGACATCAGTACTCTGCCTGCTGTGGAGGAGCCGGTGCGGCCCGAAACTCTCTCACAGCACCCAATAGTCGGGCGAGAGCGGCTTGTAACCACTGCGCTGGCAACGAGCATGCAGGGAACGTACTTGAGTGCAGCAGAGGATGCTCTCATCAGAGATGCAGTGCAGGCGGGTGTCATGCAGGTACTGGCAGGGGCAGCGGAGGCTCCCTGGCCCGGTCTATCCACCACACCCACATCCTACACCACAGCAGTGGAATAGGTCGCCCCCGTACACTCTGGGTGGGGCTTGGTCAGCCTCGAGCAGCGCTGGCAGCGACTCAGACGGTATGTGATGCTTTGGTGTGTGGGTTTGTTATTTTTCCTCTATAGCGCGTTGCCGCTGATTCGTGCATAGACATCTCCACCCAGCTTCACCCTTGCCTTAGACGAGATCTCCCGCGTGGAAGCATACGATCCTCGCCCGTTCTGTATCTTCATCACATTACGATATAAACGTCGGCTCTTTATCGAGTTCGCAGGACAAGAGGAGATGGTTTGCTGGAGGGCGGCGATTGACCGCGAGCGCCGAAGTGCAGACACGTAGACGGTGGGGTGTGTAGGGCGAGCAAGTCGTACCATTACGAAGCGTGACTGAAGATATTCTGTCAGTCTGACCCGCCTCTTTGTGTTGTTTCATTGTACGAATCATGGCGCCCAAGAGAAGCACTGCTTACTCAGACTGCCTTCCTGGAGGAGTGTAAAGAATGGAGAGAAAATAGAGGAAGGCGCTCGAATGATTGGAGGCGGAAAATCGGAAGCTGCACTCAGGCATCCCGAAGTCCTTTTATTGGCACCCTTAGCCTCATAACGCCCTGCCTGTGCTTGTCCAGTAATCGACCTTCAAAGGAGGGTCGAGCGGATCAGCTCCGAGCCCTCAACTCCCTCTTTTTCCCGTTTCGCTGCTGCTCGCCTGGGGCCACCTTTTGATTCCCAACAATACCACTTCCGCTCTACCCCATTTACTCGTAAAGCACTGGCGGAACTGACCAGATCTTTTGGAACTATACCATTGCCTGTTCTGTTGGTCCATACAGCAGGCTGAGTTTGAGGGATCGCAACTGAATGTAGTAAGACCCAGTACAGCAAGCTTCAGATCAGGTAAGGATGGGGTGCCCTCTTTCCTTTTGCAGCCGTTTGAGAAGTGAATGTAGCAATTTAGAACTGACACACATAGCTCTAGTGGCTACAAGAACTTGATTCGAAGAGCTTCTGGAGAGGACCTGCGTTCCTTCCTCGTTCTTTCATCTTCGCATTGTTCACACTCCCGAATGAAAGCCCAAGGCCGTTCGGCACAAGATTCGAGGGTGAAAAGAGAGGCATGATGGAACTGATCGCCTCCTGATTTGCTCCGGTGCTTGACACGCTGTCGACAATGAGGCCCGCTGTTATCATGCGGCAGACGTATCTGTAGGGAGATGCGACTAGCACGCCACTTGCAACCGTGTGGGCTTCTCTTACGGGGATAGAACGGCCGAGTCCTGCATGACGGTTGATAAGCGTAGAGCGGGTTCAGTGGAGGCGGAGCATGCGGAGCAGGTGAAGCGCCCGAATGACCGTCGGATGAAACCGCCCAAAAGGCTCGTAAGCGCCAGCTCGGCAGAAAAACATAGAAGTATTGAGGGTCTTGAATCTGATGTCCACGACCTCCGGCAACTGGCAGTTCTTGGGACCACCGTGACTTTATAAACTGTGAGGTAACATCACTGGGCTGGTCCCATTGACATCCGTGATTTGGTCGTTGCCTCAAGATCGATCACATCTACCTAGTCATTGACGCGCGACCTGAACATGGTCACCGTATTCAGGAAGGACGAGCCGGTGCTGTACCGAACTGATGATGGCAAATTCTGGGTTGGCGCGATCAAGGAGTACCGCAAGTCTTCTGTCGTGGTGAGAATAACCCAGCTCACTGCTGTCTAAAGTGATTGATCGACCATCGATAGGGTGGAGACCTTCTGTACACATTGTCCTTCCCAGATGGAACGACTCTTGGCTCGGTACCTTATAGTTCACTCTGGGTTTATGAGTGAGCAATAATCTCTTATTTGCCGTTGCGCTAATTTGACCCGGACGTACTGTTAGTAAGCGCATCGCGGTGCAGCAGGGTTCACCACCTGGTGCTCAGTGAGACGGTTAGAGAGTCGTTTTACAACGAGTAGAGAGGAAACCGTCTTTCAACCTCGACAGAGCTATATACCTAGTCATCCACGGGATTACCACGCTTTTGTGGTAATGAGTATGATGAGACCATCAAATTATGCAACCATGGGATGTTGGCGCGCGGACAGCCACGGTGGTTATGGTTACGGCTCCCACTGGGTGTCTGCCGAACACGGAATAGGGTCCGCTATGTAGGACCCTAAGTGCTTACAAATATAATTTAAGCGCACTTCAGGGGCTCAAATTGCTCCCACTCCATGATGCCAGCGAAGGAACTCGCTTCCAGCAGACGACTGCTCTCACAGAGCCTAATTGTCCTGTGAGATCGTTGGTTCGACTCGACTTACCCGCACAACGTGTGACCGCTGATTACAGTTTCCGGTACGCGTTGCGGTGAGTTGTGCCTTACATTGTAGAGTATGCTCTCTCATAAGATGTTGTCATTTGTGGAAGTGGCCCTATGCATGTGTCGTCGTCCATTGTCTCGCCTCGCTCGCTCCACGAATTGAAGCGCAGTATTACCTTAAAGGAGTCTCATCAGTGGTGGCGGCAATTTGACAACAGCTTTGTTGCCCATGGCTATGAGCCCTTCATATTTGGGCTTCCTGGCATGCCGCACACTCTTGGGGCTCCCCCAAAGGGAGAAGCACGGGGTCATGATCCAATGTGCTGCCAAATCGAAGGTTATCCAGCGAGGAAATGGATATCCGTACCGGTCAGCCGAATCCGATCAGGTGCAAATCTATTTTCTAATCCCTTCCAGACAACAAGGGGTCGTCCCGTCCAGGAAGTAATCACGGGAAGGTGGAAGTGGATTGAAGCCGTGATGATGGAGTGCAAGGGGCAGCCAACCGAGGGAGATCAGTTCTTTGACATACTCAAGGAGCTCTCGGATTCTACAAAAACCCGCAATCCAAGGAATCATTGTCTCGCTGCTGACAATTTTCTATCCTTTAAGCTACGAGATGGAGAAGCGGTGGTTACATTTGCGGTATTTCCCGCTTTAGACGAGGCTAATCCCTTGAAATGGGATACTGTGACCAACATGCTCGATGCATGCTTGCAATTGACTGAGGTAAGAGTTCCTCAATATTCTCACGCACCCTGGTACTGATTGCACTGGTCACCGGCAGGGATTAGCCTATTTGCACGAAAACGGCATTGCGCATAGGGTATACCCCAAGAACCCAAGTTGCTACGTACCTAACAACTATTTGAAGGACCTTGGTGCCGAGAATATTCTGGCAAATCTCAATGGTGTCAACAATTCCTTTTGGCACCCTCGAACTAAACTGTACATCATCGATTTAGAGCTCGCTTCTCGTTGCACAGAGGTGATTGGCTCGCCTTGCGCTGACTATGATAGACCATTTGCGCCCGAAGTTGCGGAAATGAAGCCCCATGATCCTCAAGCTGCAGATGTCTGGCAATTGGGAATGCTTATCAAAGAAGCATTGGTGAGCACCAAAATCTAGCTACTATCAAACGCTCATCTATTACATCAGGAGAGCATGCCAAACTCGCCTGATGAATACAAGAACATGACAAGTCTTTGCGAGTTGATGACTGTCATTGATCCAAAGCGCAGGCCAAGTGCTCAGGATGCATTCTACGAGGTTTGCAAGCTGAAAATGCAGCACGAGCAACTGAGCTGGAATTTGTGGTTGTTCCCAAACACTCTTCTTAGTTATATTCGCACATGGATCGATTTTCTACCTACCAACCACTAATATCACTGCTTCGGCAGCAATTTTATATCCTCGACCGACGCAGACGCCTTCCATCTTGTAGTATACACTTCCGCCCATCTTTGTCGTTGTTAAACTCTTCACCTGTGGCCGAAGGAAGTGACGATAACATGACTTCGGCCCCACCCCCGCACGGCGAGTCGGCGACGCGCCGGGGCAAGAGTGTCAAGTAAGAGAACCGTTAAAGACCATCATTTGAGCGATCAACGGATGTTCTGGTCTCCTCCTCCAGCCACCAAGGTCCTTGCTGCTTGATGTGGATGGGACAGAGGTGAGCGGCGAAGAGGCGCGGGAAGGAAAGTCTGCGTTACACAAGATCTCAGAAGACGCAGCTGTGTCCATGTTGCACATGTGATGCAGCCAAGTTACCCAAGAGCATGTGAGAGATGTATTGAAGGCCATGATCGCGAAAGGGAAAAGAGATGGGAAAAGAAGAGTGGGCGCGCAAACTCAAACCGTAGCTACATTAGCGCAGTTATGGAATGTATACTAGACTGAAAATATCCAAAGTCCCTTCCAAACAGGCCAGACGCACATCTGTGTATCTAGAGCATCCGGTCAGTTTGATCAGCAGGATATATCCTAGCAAAATATGTATAGGCTGGTCCTCACGTAATTGACAAAATAACGAATGTGCAAGAACTAAGCTAACCTCGCTTTGGTAAAACAAGGCTCCTACTGATCTTAAAGGAAATCACCTCCAGAGATTCAAAACCTAGCTTGCCAGTAGTTTAAATTCCACCCGCACCACATGTACTACCGGCAAGTGCGTGAGGAGGTACTCTCGAGCTTGCGCTTGTTGATGAACACGAGGGAGAGGTAGCTTCGGGGCTCTTAATATACGGGTTCCACCACCGCTGTCTCCCTCTCTCTCGACCAATTTTCTAACCTGTAGTAATTTGCTGATTTCTTAGCGCATCTTGCAAGGTAATTGTTGCATGTGGTCGCCTTACGTACGTGAAGGCATCCGAGTGAGAAGGTCCGGTGTTATGTCCGAAGTCTCCGCGTGATGCGACGCCCTCTAATGCTGCTCGACTGCATCTGTTCCTTCTTTCCGTCAACCTTTTCCAACAATTACTTACCATGACTCATCCTACGCCTCTTCCATCATTAGCCAGGCGTCAATCGCTAGGATTTCCATCAACATTTCCAACTTCTACCCCTTCAACTAACACCAACACCGACTCATCCTCCTCCAGCACCTCCACATCATTCAACCTCTTCGCAAACCCAACCACAACACCCAACGGCGTCCCCATCTCCGGAGGAGGCACAAGCGCACTTCCATCCGTACGTCCATTCTCTCCCCGTTCCTTACCTTCCTATGACAAGCCCATGTAGGACGTCTTCATATGGATATTCGTGCTTATCGCCAGCGGACTTGTGCTCCTCACAGCGCTGTACCGGTACGTTCTCCCTACCTCACTCTCTCAAGTATCAACACTAATCCACACCAGTATATGGAGGCTAAGACAACTGAACCGCTCTATGTCAACGTTCTTCCGCGTAGGGCCACCTCCCGCTCCGGCACCTCTCCCACTCTCGTTAGACCCAAGGCACCCGAATAGTCTTTACTGGCAAGCCCCCTACCCAACAGTACACCCCCCTCCTCCAGCCCGCACGAGGGTGGCAGGGGAGAACGTAGGTGACGGAGGGAGGCGCTTAGACTCTGGGTTAGAGGAGGGAGATGGGAAGGACGAACTGCCGGCTTATGAGAGGGGAACGCTGCCGGGGTATGGGGAGGCTGTGGGCTGGAGGATGCAGCCGGGGGTTGGACCGGGAGCAGGAGGAGGTGGCTACGGATATACGACAGGGGGGAGGGAGGACGTAGAGATGCATACGCTGCAGCGGCAGGGCGAGGGCGAGGGCGAGAGAGAAGGGGGAGGGGAGACATCACACCCTTCTACACCTGCTGCGCCTCTCACACCGTCTGCACCGTCTGCCCCTGCTGCAGCAGCTCTGATTATCCCATCACTGGACGAAATTCGACCACAGCGCACGCACACGAATCCTTTCCGCACGGACTGAGGATTATCCCATCTGCTCATCTTCATCCTCGTCCTCGTCCTCATCCTCATCGCATCCATCCATCCCTCCTCCTTCTCCTTCGTATCCCACCAAATCCCATCCCTCTTATCCGTCCCCATCCATCCTCTCCCACGTATCCCATCAAGATCCGAGCCGGGTGTATGAGCCACGCAGCATGTGGGACTTCTTGACTCGATTGACACTTGCTCCTAGTTCAATCCTTATCTTTCTCTGTACTTTCCCCTGTTTTCATTACTTTCTGTACTATGCACCATGTACCATGAATTATATACTTGGTACTTGTATGTAAGCCGTGAACCGAGCCGTAAGCCTGCCTTGACCTCATTCACCCTTCACTCTGTCCCGACCGCTCTTTTTTTCTGTCCCACACATCTAACCTACTGCTATTCCGCCCTCTCGGCCCGTCCTACCAACCCGGAAACATTGAGCGAGAAATTGACGGTCCAGAAGTACGAATGTGAGTGACTGAGTGTAAGTACAGTATTCCGACCAAGGGAATTTTTCTCTAGAATTACGTCTCCTCGACTCAAAGACGTTTTGGTCCTTCCCTTTTCTTCTATCGCCCTTTTATGGTCCTTTGAATATGCCGTGAAGCTGAAATATTGCCGTGTCTTAATCATTGTGCAGATGCTGGCAGGAAACCAGGAGATATATATGCTCACACCGCGCTGAGCAATAGATTATCAATGCTGGCCTACAACAATAGATCTCAACGAACTCACTATATTTTAATAACATCAGCAAGAAGGGCAGCAGCGCCGCTCGGCTCCTTGGCCACATTCTGTACGTTGCGCACCGGGTTGGACAAGCGCCAGGGAATAATATTAGACCAGGGGAGCTATGACGGCAATCCGCGCGTGAGGCTCCAACTTGCGACTGGCCTTCACGATGGGGGAAATGTCTCGCGGAGAAGAGTTTTATCCACCAGATTTCGGTGGAGAAGGGCTTGAGGCGCATGTGCGCTACTGGAGCAAGATGCAAGAGGCCGCTTGTGCTGCACGGCCTCTCATGGTTGGGCGGAAATTGGTACCAGACGGGCTATGGAACGCCGACCTAAACGATGCGCCTGATTTCCACTCCAAGCCAGAGGATCAACTGCCGGGAGATCACTGGCTTTGCAAGTATAAACGGCCTGCCATCACCAATGCTCAGCGTATCTTAAAAGATTGCTTCACCCTGATCGAACCGATTCGAACAGGGACCGACGAATATGCTCAAGTCTGGCTTGCACAGTGTACGCCTGTCGATCCCGACCCCAACTTGCCGGACAGGAGCATCGTCATCAAATTCTTCCAAGAGAGCCTTTTCCTGATCCCGGGAATCTACGAGTGGACTTTGGGCGAGTACTTCAAGGCGTCGGACCTCATTATCAGGGAACTTTGGGCGAATACTCGGCTAGCGACCCTTCAAGGCACGATCTTGCCTCACTCTTATGGCTTCTTCCAGGTCCGCTCGAGTCTCCATCCTCAACCTGTAGATAGCCGCTCACAAACGATTACAGTTTACATTCACCTACGAAGATGCACAGGAGCTTGTGTGCGGACATGCGATGGAGTTCATCTCGGGGGAACCGCTAACGGAATCCCTTGTGCGGCAATCGCCATTCTATTCTACACCCAAGCAGCGGGAATTGCAGGTGTGTCATATTGCCTTTTTCGCTTATTTACAGAGGCTAAAGCAAGCGGTAGATCTCGCGATTGTTGCACTGCATCTCGGAGATCCACTGGCGGTGTGTCGCGCATGGCGATCTGCGCCCTTCCAACAGCCTGGTGCCCCATGATCACCCAGAAATCTTTGTTATCATCGACTTTGGTTTGGAAGGATGGAATGACCTTTTTGTGGGGCCCGAATAACCGGAAATCAAGCAGCGGGGCACCGATTTTATCGAATTCTGGTACATCGGCCTGTTCTGTGATGCAGTCGGGACTCATGCCTGTCTTGCGGAGATCGATGATATCTCAGTTGTCAACCGATATATCAAGAGAGACATCGTTCCCGGTAGATGGTGTTTGATGTATCATGTGTCTCAGTCGGAATATATGCTTGATATTCAATGATTCGCACCCCCCCAGTCTCCTCAGATATATATATATATATATACGTAGTGCTAGGGTTTGTAGTCATTGCAGTGCTTTCCGCGACATGTTCCCGTCCATATATATATGACAAGTCGAGCAAGGTGTGACTGTGGATGGATTGTTCGTGTTCGGAGTAAAATAACAGCGTTTGCATTAGCAACCGGAGGTGCACGGGAATACTTACACGCAGCTCCTCACTCACACCGGTGTACGGCGTGCGCCTTCACCTCGGCGAAGGCAGGCAGTCGCCCAGCACACATGGCGAAGGCGCTATAAGGGATTCGGGCAGAAAGACATCGCACATACATGGCGACCTTCGTCCTTACAATGTCCTGGTGCCGCATGATCAACCCGACATATTCGTGGTCATCGAGCGCTGAAAAATTCTGCACATCGTAACAGATTCTGCAAATTCTGGTTCTTGGAGCCATTGCGCGATATGATCGGAACGCATAAATGCCTCGAACAGATAGAGAATCCTTCAGTGGCCTATGGATATATACAAAAAGTCTTGCCCTATCCGTGGTGCTTGATGTATATGGGGAGGCACAATTGACACCCCAACGTTCTCCTAGGTGTTTCGTTCCTTGGAATTGGAATATTGTAACTAGTTCTGCGAAAAGAAGCTTGATTTACTATGTCAAATATATTCAGTGTTATCTCGGATATAATCGAGCTCCTGCAGGACCCCGTTTGCAATGTCAAACTGAAATGGTGCACAGGCTCAGTCGGAGAATATTAATGCTTCCACTCGTACTGTGTAGCTGAGCTTGCGCTCAACCCATACGCCGCTGTTCACTGTACTCATCCACCTCGACAACGGCAGCCAATCCAACAGCACACACAACGAAGGGCGCTACCAGGGATTGGGACAAGGGAACAGGGGAAATCGTACGCAAAGAAGGACAGAGTAGAACGCGAGGGAAGGGTCGTAACATCAGTCGTTGTCAGGGGAGCGGAGCACCCTTGCTCATTCACCCAGGTCTCCTCTCTTTGCTCGGTGAGTTACTAGCTCCTCCCTATCGTCTACATTTCACTCATTCTCTGCTGGTTGGCCAGTGAACAGGGACGAAGTACTTGGACGGTGTGGACGATTCGTACGACAACGACCACATACGCAGACCTGAACGACATCCACGGCCTATTCTCCGAAAACGACGACAACGACGACGACAAGGAAGAACGAGACGAACGACGGTCTAGGTGGATATCTGTAAAGAGCAAACTCATACGACCAGGATAGGATAACAGACGACTTGGACTTTGCTGTTGCCATCTATCAAGCATCAGCGACTCACCGAACGATCACGGACTGTAACTCGACTTCAACGCCGTATACCCCTTTTCACGACTTTCTGATCCTCTGTACATCCGCGACAACAAAATCATGGCATTCGAGTCGCCTCGCAACCTGACGCCTACCGCGCTCACCCCCTCGCGCCCAGCCCCACCCGCCCCGCTCCAACGCCGCCCGACGGACCTCTCCCTGCCAATCTCCAACCCCCTCCCTCTTCAACTGTCCCAGCCCGGGTCAGCCACCAGTAGCCTGCGCTCCTACTCTCCTGCAGGCGCATCGCTCAACGGTAGCTCACCGGGCCCTGGGGGTAGCATGTGGACCTCGGGAGGAAGGGAGGACCCCTATGGTGGAGGTATCGGGAGCATGGCAGTCGTCCAGAGCGGATGGGTACAACTGAAGGAAGAAGGATTCGCAGGCTTGTTCTGGCAGAGGAGGTATATGGTGCTCAGGGAAGGCAGCTTGAGTTTCCACAAGACCGAGGTGAGTTAATCCGCTTTGAACCATCACAGGTAACTAACAATGTATTCTTGTAGAGTTCCGGTGCAAGCAGCACCCTCTCCTTGCGCGACATCCAGTCGGTGTCGCGTGTCGAATTACGCCCCTACTGCCTCCTCATCGAGCTCTCTGCCTCTCGTGGGAAACTTCACATCTCGTTCAAGTCCGACGCAGAGCTGTATCAATGGCAGGAGGAGATCTACTCACGATCTCCCTCTGCGGGCGTCTCGCATCCCACGGACTTCGTGCACAAGGTGCATGTCGGTTTCGATCCAGTGTCAGGGGCATTCACGGGCCTGCCAGAACAGTGGACGCGCCTGTTGTCTGCAAGTCAGATCACGAAGGAAGACTATGCGAAGAATCCACAGGCGGTGTTGGACGTGCTTGAGTTCTATACCGATCGCCAGAAACGCGAGGCCGAAGGGGGCGATCTGACAATTGCCGGGCCTGGAAATGCTGCGGTTGTCACGCGCCCTCCGCCGCCAGGGCGCTTCGCGGGTGGTACGGGCTTGGGTGGACAGCTAGCTCAGCAGAAGAACGCAGACGCGAACGGGAGTACCACGAGCCTTAACACCCTCGCTACTACCACCACTGCGAATACTGTCGTATCCGATTCATCGCGCGCGCCTTTGATAAAGCAGAACACCGCTCCCGCGGCATTGGACACTCGCAATGCGGAGAGCAGACTGAGAGAGCTCACTCTCGCGAACAGCGCCCGACCGCTCCCTCAGGCTTCGCGGCCTGCCCCTGCCCCGCCCGGATCCAGACCGCCTGTGCAGGCTAATCGTCCTGCTCCCCCACCCCCTGGACAGCGTGCCCAACCCAAACAGCAAGATTACTTTAAGGACAACTTCAGCAGTCCTGTCACTACTGGTGTTTCATCTTCCCAGATGGAGGAGCGTGGGCCACATATACCAGCTACCCTCGCGCCCATGTCCGACACCACACGGCAACAGGTCTCGCCCGCCAAATCTGCGCCCACATCCAATGCCAATTCCTCCACGGCCGCAGGTGCCCTAGCCGGTCCACCCCCGGTGAAACCCCTCCAGACGGCCAAGAAACTCCCTGTGCCTGCTACAGATCCATTGGCGACTGCGATGGACAAACTTGAGGCGAAGAGCCCTGAGGGAATCCGAGAACGGGAACTGAAGAAAAAGGCCGAGGAAGAGAAGAGGATCAGCACATTGAGCGAAGGCCAGATCATGGAGCGCATGCGGGCCGTCGTTGATCGGGAGAATCCGAAGGAGCTATATGCACGGATCAGGAAGATTGGTCAGGGGTAAGCACCCATACTACCTGGAAGAACTTGGAATGTGCTGATTTTGTACGACAGTGCTTCTGGCCAAGTGTGGGTCGCGAAAAGCAACATGGGAGGACATAAGGTAGCCATCAAGCAGATGGATCTGTCCCACCAGCCGCGCAAGGAGCTCATCGTCAATGAAATTATTGTGATGAAGGAATCACAGCATCCTAACATTGTGCGTCTTGTCCTTCCATCACGAGTGGATGCTTATGCCTTGGACACAGGTCAACTTCATCGCCTCCTATCTCGTTAACTCAAACGAACTCTGGGTTGTCATGGAGTACATGGAAGGCGGCGCGCTCACGGACGTCATTGAGCACAACAACCTCAGTGAGGACCAGATCAGCGCTATCTGTCTTGAGACGTGCAAAGGTCTGTGTCACCTCCATGATCAGAGCATCATCCACCGTGACATTAAAAGTGACAATGTCCTGTTGGATGCGCAAGGAAGGGTTAAAATCAGTGCGTACTTTGCAGCTGGTGTGCTGATGACACTTTCTGACCCGTTCGCAGCGGACTTTGGTTTCTGTGCTAAGCTAACGGAAACGAAGTCGAAACGCGCAACCATGGTCGGTACGCCGTACTGGATGGCGCCCGAGGTAGTGAAGCAAAAGGAGTACGGTGCCAAGGTTGATATATGGTCGCTCGGCATCATGGCCATCGAGATGATTGAAAAGGAGCCGCCATACCTTGATGAGGAACCGCTCAAGGCACTCTACCTCATCGCGACAAACGGCACTCCAACATTGAAGAACCCCGAGGCTCTGAGCCGCGAGCTCAAAAGCTTCCTCAGCGTTTGCTTGTGTGTTGATGTCAAGTCTCGTGCGACAGCGGATGAGCTGCTTAGGGTTTGTCTGTATTCTTCCGCACTAGACATGCTTGCTGACTGGATTGTAGCACGAGTTTTTCCAGCTTGCCTGCTCACCGCAGCAGGGTCTCGCACCTCTCCTACGATGGCGCAATAACCAGGGCGCGTAGCGTTTGATGTGCAGCGTATGCACCTGCCTCGATCTGTTCCTTACTGGATGAACCTGCCCGCGGGTTCCTCCCGTTCTCTCCCCTAGTATAGAAAAATTCCAAAAACTCCTTCGCTGCATGTGCTGATATTTTCGGAAGTGTACACTAGCTCAGTTATGCCCTCTAGAGGACACAAATCCCCTGTCTGTTCCTTCTCAGGGAGCTGTTTATCGCGTCCTTGTTCTTGTTATGCGAATTCAATGTTGCAACGGAATGGGATGTCCTGGATCCAACAATCACGAGAAAATTGAGCTTGGAACATAGAAAGTTACGGTTATCAAACTATGTAATACACATGTGCGGAGGTGAACTGTGCAGCCGCACCTATGGCTGAGAAGAGCGGGGCCCACTGGTTCATCATCGAACAACAATGCCGACACTCTAGGATGTTCATCAGCTGGTGATGAAATTCGGGGATCAGGTTAGGAGTCGCGCTATTTAAGAGTTAGCATTAGTCATAAGCAACACCCGATGGAAAAGACAGCAATTGGTGTCCAGGTATTTGATACCCTCGGCGATGGGTAGTCCAGACAGCTGTGTTTATAACGTCGTCACATGGGGTTCGCACCTGCTTGGTCAATAAGAATGAGGGGAGGAGACGCAGACGGCAGGTTACCTCGGTGAGCGCCATGGTAACGATTCGACTATATTACACGATGTTGAGGCCGTTCTCATGCTGCTGACTCTAGGTCAGAGAACAACAGCAATGAGCGCATCGCATCACAAAGGGTGGAAGTGGGAGGGGGGCAGTAATATAGGTAGAAGCAAACAAGCTGGAGGACGCGATGCTCGAGACGCCGTTGGTGCATGGAGTTGATATTCATTCGAGAGCATGGAAAAGGTGGGACAAGCCAGATGACACGATGGATGAGATGGTCTGAAATATGTGTTAGCACATGTACAGCTTGATCCGTACAACGTCTGCCGGTTTTCTCCACATTAGGTGTTGTTCAAACGACCGCTACGCTCGATAATCCGATGATCTGTAGGAAGTGTGAATAAGGGGCGAAGGGTAAAAAGAGAGGTTTGAACGCACTTTGTGAATGCCTCATTCGAGTGTTCTTCATACAAACATGCCCCTCATGCCTCTAAGTCAGACACTTAATCTGGTATAATCACGCCTGGATGATCCTGGTGTTCAGAAGGTCCGCCCGGTTGGGTCGCTCCCTAGCCGACGTCTGAGATGGGAAAATCCGAAGAATTGGGGCATAGTCGGGAGCGGTTAGCTACTGTAACGCTCGAGAGATGCGAGGTCGGAACGCACGCAATCAGTTGCAAACGTCCGGGTTATTGCCTGCCTGTTTCAGGCAGTTTGTCTAGAGTACTTCAGACTAGATAGATGCAGGTTGTGTGACTGGTTTCTTCCGTCATGCAGTCTGCGGGTGCAATCTAGTACGTGCGGCGCTTGGTTGGTTCAACCACAGCGTGTCTCACTACGACGTCCACTAATTCATCATGGTCTTGGATCCCGCGCTAATTGCAGCCCGGGACGCCCAGGAAGGCTGGTGGAAAGCTCAACCAAACCTTGAGGCGCTCGATAGTGTTGTTGCACTTCACTTTCAGCGGCGACATCCACCAGCGTCCAGCCAACACATCAAGCGTGAGCTCCTCAATCAGGGTTGCTATGCGTTGGTCTACCTGTACACACTCCATACGGCGACACATCCGGGAATGATTGATGCTGTCGTTGCCAAAGTTGTCCTGCCCTGGCGACCGCGATATAAGACGGACGGGGAGGTCGCCACTATGAGGTTCATTCACAGTGCGTTCCTTTCATCACACTTTTCAAACACGTTTAGATTGTACATGCTAGGTCAGACAAATATCCGTGTTCCTGAGGTCTATAAACATTGCTCGGATCTGCCTAACGACGTGGGAATGGAATGGATTCTGATGGAATATGTACCGGGCGAACGAGGGGCCGATGTGTACCCCGAGCTTGGGCGCAAGGAGAAGCGACATCTCATCCAACAGCTCGCCAGGATCGTTGCAAGACTGTTTATGATCAAGGCAACGGAAATTGGTACGCTTCTGCCAGTCGGTGCATCATACGTCCCATCCCGCAATCGTACACTGTACAAAGACGGTGACGACGTATCCTGGTGGATTGGACCACTGAACGACCTCGCTTACGAAGACTTGTGGCTAATCCGGTCCATTCCTGCGGATCGATGCGGTCCATTCAAGAACACACGTGAGCTATTCGAAGCCTTCGCACTGCTAGGCAAGCCTCCGCTAAGAGCCCCTATCAACCATGCACCGGGAAACAAGTTCTTAGAGCTTTACGATTTGGTCATCGATCGCCCACGGGATACCGAGACATTTTGCTTCTCACATGGTGATCTGGCATTACGAAATATACTCATTACGAGGGATGGAGATATCACTGCTGTTCTTGACTGGGCAAATGCCGGTTTTCGACCTCCTTCGCTGGCAGCAACCGCACCAGACTTTTTCGAGGACGACGAAAAATTATCAGGTACACCAGACAGTGACCAAACGACACCGGAAGCTCTGAAAATTCTGCGTGAGGAGGGAGAAGAGTACTTCATCGCCTTGTACCGCACCTTGCTTCACGAGGCGAATCCAAGTCTGTATGCCTCCCACGTTCACGGCGCAGAACAGCGACAGATGTATCACTCGCTTCAACGCAGCAGCTCTCCTGGTAATTTGGTGATGTGGATGTGGAAGTATGGGGAAGTTTTCCGAGAAAGGAGCGAGGAACGTTCGAAGGCAAGGAGAGAATTTTCCGCAGGGCTCCCTGATTGGTTTTATGAGCGTCAATGTGAGTTAGGTCAACACAAACATGAAGAATGGGAAATGTGAGAGAAGCACGACTACTTTGGTGAAATGCATGCCCTTCTTCAACACCTTCGCCCCAAAGGGAACCGTTTGCAGCTTTGTCAGAGTCAGCGTATCCAGCATCAATTTTCTTCACAGAACTGCTTCTACCCAACACGACGACACAACTTCAACAGCGATTGACAAGACAATTATACGAGGACAAAGGCCGGATTGGTGAGAGAAAGACATAAGGGCGCAATTGAACACTAGAGGGACAACTTTCAACGACGAGTGCCACGTCAGTCCATAATCCACAGTGCTTACAGTCTCACTCCGTTTTGCCGCATCGTTTCACCTCTTTGTGTTGCTTTTCAACCATCAGAGCCGTGCCATCTGGGCCCTTCTTGACCTTGCCTGCTTCATCCAAAACACACTCGCGCTTCGTCGTGATCACCATTACCCCTCTTTCGCACGAAGTCCCTTTAAGCACCTTGTGACTATCGTGGTATGCGCCTTCTGTCCCTGTACAGGTCCAGTAATGCACCGTACAGGATGCACGACTCTTGGCACACCCGGGTATCGAACAGTGGTGATTACCAACAGGTGCAATGGTTGGACGAGAGTCTGGTCGGTGTTAGGCTCTACTTACATTCATTTGGGGGGAAAAAAAACTCACAAGAGCCGTGGCAGATGGTCTTCGATAATTTCAAAAGGGGTTTCTTTGGGGGTACGGAGACAAGTCAAAAGGATGAAGCAGGGGATATGACCATCCGCAGCACCGTGTAACAGTGCTTATATATAGGGTTTTCCATTGAGAGCCGGGAAATACCGTACATTACTGAATGCAGTCATTCCAGACTTCGATATGACTGAAATTCAGCTGCTGGGAATTTCATGTCATTGACCTTTCTCTGTGTGCGTGTCAAGTCACTTATTAGTGCGTATGCAGACGACTCACATTGAATGCGGGCTTCTGCCATGCGGTCTAGAAGCATTTGACATGATAATTCCGGGACATCGATCATCTTCCTCGGAAAAAGGTGAATGACGGCTTCAGGCGGTTGTATTTCTTGCGGCGATTTTCTCTACGATAGACCTTTTTTGGGAGAGAGGCAGATGCAGGACAGCGGGCTGCAGTCCTCATTCACTAAACCGAGGAATTAGCGTGGCCCTTCAAACACTAGCCTCACTTCTCAGATGAGGAGGACTGATCCGCATGAGATAATCCACATCGGTGCCGCGCGGCACCGCTGCAGCTGCCCAGTTGCCCTGGCTATGACGGGGCAAAATATTGCTGCCGCAGTTCGTAGATTGCAAAGTCCGTGAACATAACATAGCCACTGATTCCAATACCATCTCTTTCAACCTAGGACAAGTCACTTGCACCAGTCGTCCCTTCCAGCCAAAAAGGAGCACCGACCTCTCATACCCATGGGATAAGTTCACCTTCCCCACCCACTTTCGACGGAAGCCCGGGGTTTCGCAGGCCGCGTCTTAGACTGGCGTGCCGGTCCATTGTTGTTGGAGAACCTGATGTCGTCCTCCTCAACCTTGGCACAGCGCAGGAACTCAACATCGAAATGTACTGCGGACGCTGCTGCAACCTACCGTCTCTTGCTATATATCGGGATCCTCGACCTCATATCGGACCAGCTCCAAGCGAAGTTTACGGAGAGTTTCTCCCCAACCGCTATGTGAAGAAGGAATGAGCACGCTATGCCCTTGTCCGCGATTTCGATTCCCACGGGGGACTCCCCACGTTCTCAATGAAGACGGCCTCCCCGCAGAAGAGGCTGTGTGCCGTTGTCTCCACGCCTTTCGCGAACATCACGATCCTCCGCCCCCATCCACATCCTCCAATGCAAATGCCCAATACCCCGCCCGGGCAGCGGCCCCGCTGCTCCCCAACACTGCCGACGACCCAACCACCCCAATGTCACATGTGCCATCGTGGTTGGCATCCAACACCCTTTGTACCCCGGGCCGCGCGTCCGCCGGTCTGCGCCTGGCTCTGGTCGATTCCTCCTCGCCTACCCGTGGGTCTCCCAATGCCGCTCGCGCTGCACTGGACCCGGTGGTCCTCACCGCCCTCTCAAGGCAATCCGCGCAGAAAGCCGCCAATCTCGCTCGAGCGGAAAGCGCCCAGAGGAATTTCCCCCGTATTCCCAAGCCGTCCGGGCGCAGAGCTTTAGGGAGAGGCCCGGTCCACGAACCAGATATCTCGTTTTGCATTGTAATCCGTATTTGTGGCGCCGCTCCCCACGGCACCAAGCAGGTGCGCTGGTCCGGCCACCGCAGGGTTACCGATGCAGTGACTGATCGGTCCTCTCCCACCTTTGCACCAGAACGTCCTCTATCGAGTCGCCCGAGATCAATTCATCTCAAGGTTAGGGGCATCTCTCTCCCTTGTTCACCTTACACTCTCGTTGACCAAGTTCAGTTCTCGCCGTTACGGCCTGGTTCGCCAGGTCACGGTTCCTCGCGCTGCAAGCTTACTCCAATTGGCGGACCGTCTGGAACCCCTCCTGTCCAAGTTCGACTTTCCCCTCCAAAACACCCCCGATCGTCATGCGATGTCCACATATCCCACGCTCTCTTGGCTTCCTGCAAAGGGCAGGGGCGCAGGCAACAGACTCATGATGATATCTATCGAAAATCACCGAATAAAACTGCTCTTGACCTGTGGAAAGAGTGTGGTGGAAGGGCAAGCAATGACATACCGGACTTGCACATCGGTATGTCACTGGGAGATGCCGAGAGATTTGACTGTGACCTTGAGATAGTGCCCCGCAATGGCGATCTAAAAAAGGTCGGACAAGGTCCTCCAAACCTCCTCCCTTTTCGTCGTCTCCGCCTGATGGTGCGGGACATGATCATCAGTGAACAGTCCCAGGATTACTCTGTCAGTAACACCGGCCCCCCTTTTGCATGCTATTCTGTTCTGACTCGATTCAGCAGAGCGACTCCTCCTCTTCAAGCGATTTGCCGTCTGTTGAAGCTCTCCTGGCAGAAGTCCAGCCTCTGCCTCCTCCCGGTGACTTTGTGCCGCGTGAGACCCGGGATGCCCGTCGGTCCGTCCTGAGTAGGTCTCGGCATCCCGTCGACGTTGGTACGATACCCGGGGTACATCGGCATCCCGGGTATCCTACCGGGTTCCCCGCAGGTTCCGCTGATATTGCACATGGCGAGGGTCCTGGTCCACGAGCAAACCAAGCATTTGGCGTCCCTTCGACCGCTCCAATGTTAGTTTTCACTGACCATCCACCTGTTCAATCAACGCAGCATGTTGCGGAGGCACCCTCCCTCCCAATGCACTCTGTTTTTCCTGCTGCGCCCATAATTGATCTGACGGGGCTGGACCCTCTGTCTGACCCTGCCAGCAGACTCGTGGCACCCACGGCCATGGTCACCTGTCCTCATCCAGGGCCGTCTCTCCTCAGCGCACTCGATGACGTTTTCGGCCCGTCCGTCCCTCAGGCGTCGCTCCCTTCCCTTCGACCACCCAATTCACGTCCGACAGCACGCCAACAACCTCTTGTGGCGCCAAGACCAATGTCATCGCCTCAACACGTCATTGCTCACATGCGGGCTCTGACTGCTTTGCGTCAAGTTGGACTCATGCCAACCATCCACGGTCCCGATACGGAAACGGCGGCCAAAGCACTGGAAGTGTGGCTTCGGTCCGCTGTCCAGCCTATCATCCGACGCTGCACCGCTTCATGTCACCTCTCGCCTCGAGTGTCTTCTCTCGCTGCAACATTGGATCTCAGTGTGAGTCCGATGATACATCCGATCATGCATGCCTTCTCATTTCATGTAGCGGGTCCAATGAAAGCAGGGGTCGGGGCACCAGCATGGATGTGCTCTGCTGTCTTGTCAACCAACTATTGAAGCGAGGGGTCTTTGTTCCCGTGGGTATGGGCGACTTCATCACGCTAAGCGTGCGCCATCCCACCTGGGCTGCCCCCCTGGCGCCGCTGATGCCCAAGGCACAGTTGGACTGCGCTGTGGCAGGTGCTGTTTGCCTTGCTTTCTTGTGCTTGCAAGAACAAGGGCCACCAATGGTCAGCCCCCTATTCTTCGAACGTGTGCTTCGTCAAGGTCAGATATCCCCAACCACAATTCGCCGATTCGAACCACAAATCCAACTTGCGCTCCGAGCCTGGCACCAGTTGTCCCATGGGGGTGTCCTGCTTCCCCCGGATCAATCATTAGTGCGCAACTCTTGGCTCTGCGCTGCTGGTGTTTCTGACCAGCAAAGCAGGAAAAGAACCATCCGCAATATCACTTGGCCAGATATGTGTTTCAGCACCTTGGCTTGCAGGCACGTCTACCGCTTGCCCCAATATCATAATGCTCACGCGGCGTAGCATAATGCAATGCAATTTCCCATGTCCCCTGACTTGCACGGACAGTGGCTTCGCTATCTGCAAGGGATGGCTAGCCTGGCGGCTCCTCTGGTGTCTCCTGAACCGGAAGAACTCTGCTACTTTCGCAAGGGAATGGATCTGCGTCTTGTAGGCGACACCACCCTGCTCACGGTAGGTCAACCTTCCTTCCCTGTGACCAACACTTTGGTCTGACACTGCACCTCAGTTGCTCCGGGACAAATTTGCAGGAGGACCCACCGCATTTATCAATGCTTCTTGGGGAAGCAGCCACTTTGCACACGCGGCGCAGCTTCTAGAACGGCTTGTTTGGGTGTTCGACTCTAATGCTCCGTTCGGCGTCCAGCAGAACATCAAATCAGCCACCTCAGTAGCCTTAGATCATCCTAATAGCTTGAGGATCGTAAAATCAGATAATCCTACGTCGCTTGTAACCCATGGTCTAGGATAATCCTCTCAGATAATCTGTGGATTATCCCTAGATAATCATGTATAATCCCAGGATGATCTGGCATCCCTCACACAACGTTCAGGCAGAGACCGCGATTGCTTATTTGGCCACAGCACCGGCGATTCCTCCCCCTACGATACAACAGTTATGGCGCATATAGGGACATTGATCAAGATGACAGACAGGCATCGCAACTCCTCACTCTTCACTGATACTCCCACTCATCCCACCCCTTCCACTCACGTCTTCGTCAATCAGAATCCCCCTCTTCCTCAAACACCTCGGGGACCTCATCCTCTCCATTCTCCCCTTCGACGTCCTCCCTCGATTCCTCATCTTCGTCTTCCCCTTCCTCTTCTCCGAGCTGCTCCTCCCCGGTCACGACGTAAGTCAGCTTCCTCGACCATTCGCCGGACCATTTATTCTGCATTTCAAGTAAGCCACACATCAATATTATAGACGTACACGCACCTTCCACAACTGAGTGCGTGCCTGGATAGTGAATCTCCATTTTGTCTTTAAGAGGGCCCCAAGAACTTCATCATACTGGCCCGGCATGTGATCCTGGCATATCATTAGGAGATCTCTTTTGGTATAGAGATAAACGTACCCTTTTCTTGACTACTTCCGTCGCGTCCTCCTCAAGCATTTTGTCAGCCAGCGGCGTGAAAACGGAGACATCTATGGTGCGCCTGCGGTCTTGTCCAATCGTTAATTTGAGATGGTAGCTAAATGTCATCAGCATTTGCAACTGCCAGCCGAACGTAGAAGACTCACCAGAATCTTCGATTATCATCAGACGTATCTTCATGCCCTTCAATATCGCGAGGGCTCTTCTCAATACTCTTGTTACAACGAGTATTCCTGCAGGCCTCGTAGACAGCATTCCGATCCACCACTTGAATGCGGCCCTCGACATTGAAGGTGTCGACGCGGGAGCCGGTTCCAAGATTGGACTTTTGAACCTCAGGGATGGTCAGAACGTTCGAGCGGGGCTCGATGTCGGTGAACAGGCCACTTCCCGCGCTATAACCGGAGGAGATATGTCGGAACGTTTGGGGATTCGATGCGAGATTATTGCAGCTTTGCAAAGTCAGTAGGCTGTTCAATGAATAACCATATTATCGACGGACCAGTTCTTCAAGCTCGTGCCCTCTGCCACCTTCGGATCCTTGTCCACCTTTGTCTTCTCGTACACGTTCAGGCTGATACCACCATGCGCGGCAATGACCACCTTCTTGAGCAACAAGATTGAATCGCGCTTCACGGCCATGGACGTAGCACGGCCTTTCCATAGTGCAACGCGCACGACGTGGGCAGAGTCGTCCACTAGCTGGACTTCCCGTCTCACCCTCTCCCCTTTGGGGTCTTCCTCCTCGCTCTCGCTCTCTCCATCCCCACTCTTCCCGGCAACCCTCTTCTTTTCAGACATCGCCTCCACTTCGCCGACATGCAGCACCACTCCTATAACGTTGACCTCGGTACCCACCTTCATTGCCCTAAGCAGGCTGATCTTTGTCAGCTCAAGACTCAGAGAAGGGATGCCGTGGTCCTGTCGTGTCATTAGTAATATCGTTGTATACTTCGAATCATCACCCACCTGGAGAGGGAATTCAATCCTAGAGTTGTGGTCGACGACCGCCTCGATAGGAAGAAGCCCGTTCCGTAGATATTTCGCTTGCGTTTCTTGCAAACGAACACTCTCCAAGCGCATCACCTGCGTTGACATCAGCATCAGGCTCCAAGGGTTTCCATAACCGCTTACCACTCCCACAGCTGCATTCTTCAACAATCCATCAATTACCTCCTCCTCGAACGTCAAGACCTTCATGGCCGTCTATTGCTTTGTCAATTCCACGCTAATAAGCACTATTAATGAACTTGTGCCTTCTTTGTCCTTGACCAACAGCGTCAAGGTTAACCCTCCGCCATTTTTCCACGGTCTTGGGCCATGGATTTCGTATATGCGCACGAAAGCTTCCCATCCACAAGACATCTTCGTCCCGAGCTCAGACAACTTGAACTCCTCGGGATATTCGGAATCGAAGCTGGATGCCACCAATCGCCCTGTGGCCTTCTTGCCTGGCTTGGCCGTCAAACCTTGGCTCTTGGCCGAAGCGGACGTTCCACTCTTGCTTTCCTTCGACGTCGACCCCCTTCCCGCCACCACTGGAGGTTTCGAATCAGATGACGTCTTCCCAGAACCCAATTCAGATTTGATCTTCTTCTTCTCCCCGATGATCGTCTTAAGCACCGCTTGATGTGCTTTGTGTAAGCCTTTGTAGGCTCCTCGAACTGACCCCTGCACACCTTCCACAGTACCCTTGACTGTGTTTTTCTTCCTCACTGCACTCCCTTTCACTGTTGGCTTCGGCGTCGCTGGGGTGGGCTCGATCTTGACCATTCTCGACCCGGAGGACGTCGTCGCCATGGGGGCGACGCCCGATGCGTTCTCGTCCGAGACAGATTGAGATTGACCTGATAGCAGCGTTGGAAGAGTGTCGGGTTGACCAGCTTGTTCAATTCGCAACGTTTCGGTGTGGCAAGCCAGTGTGTCGATGTTGGCAGCTGCGTTCGGTCCCGTAGCTGTGGTCCCGTCCACGATAGTGTCGACGGAGTGCGCCCCAACGTCAAGGCCCAAGATCCCATGCATAGATTCCTGATCCCCACCCAGGTACGTACCGTTGATGAGAGGCTCAAGAGGTCGACGGTCAAGTAATGCTTGCGGCTCTTCGGGTTCCTCCCGCAATATTGCATCGATATTCGTGTCGAGAGGGCATGTGCGTGCCGGCAGCGGACTCGGCACACCCACAGGCTGGCACTTCCTTATGATAATACACCTGAGTAGAGTCAAGTTAACCGGTGTCATAAATGCGCATATACGCGTCATGCGCATGTACGTACCGTCTCCTTCCCACAGTCATGCGTTTAACCTTCTGAACACGCAAAAAAACCCGCCACCAAGGTTCCTCGATCGACGTGCTTGTTCATCTTCTCCGAAAGAACAACAAGGAGCGAGTCCTCGCCGTCCGTCACGCTCAGACTAATGACCATCGTCAGTTTCTTTCGCCATCCCGCGTTATCTCGGTGACTCACCAGTACTCATCTCGTTGCGATATCCGGTGTCCATCCACTACTACCTGTTCACAGTCCAGCACCTGAAAAAAAAGGCTTTGAAAGACGACGTCGAGGCTTTCTAGCAGAGCACGGCAGTTTCCTCGTTGCACTAAGTCCGACATGGTGGATATGCGAGACGAACCAGTGGCGCGTCATCCCCATGATCCGGGATCAAGTACCATGTTTGCTTCCGTCGACGCGTCAAGCGATTGATTCCAGGTCCTTCCTCAACCACGTCTCATCCTCTCATCACTGTCATGAGTTCTGCTCAACAAACGCCTGCGTACGACATGACTGGAGAAGATAGTAAGTAAGGTGTTCTATTATCAGGATGTTTGGCCTAACTTCATCCAGCCCATCTCGACTTTCACCAAAGACTCGATGCGGCTGCAGTCGACTCTGTCTTGAGGTCGTCCACTCCTCGAACGTCGTCAACCCAAACTGCTCGCCACTCCCACGGTATGGATCTCCCGACGTCTTGACTGGCCCTCGCTAAGAGTCTCAGCCGTTTCGAAGAGGAGCAGGGCAAGCCGAATAGGGCGAAGTTGAAGGCGGGCGTCATTGACTTGACGGCGAGTGACGCGGAAGAGGACGTCCAACAAGTGCGTTTCCGTGACCGTGTATGCATCTAAGTTGTCTCAGTATATGCAGGTTGCTGTCAAAGTGGAGCCCGTCGACTCCAACGCTTCGCAAGACCCCATGGCCGCCCTCAGCGAACGTTTCGAGACCATGATGGACGAGTCGCTAAGTAAGACGTGGCTGGTTCTCCAGCTACAGCGGCAACTGAAGGACAGTCGCGCGGAAACCGTACGTCTACGTGAGGAGAACGATCGCCTTCGCCAAGCTTTGAGGAATTTGGTGGAGCCTGTTACAGGGTCCGCTCCTTCTCATCCCTAAGACCTGTTTATGACAGCGTCAACGTCTGGACACGCCAATACGTATCTGTTACTCTGCATTCTCGGGCTATATGTGGCAACATAACGACTTAGACGATTCCTCAGTGTATGTACATTGGGCATAGATGTCGTACGTCCAGTACATTGTAAACTAGCTACGTGTATGACTTCCACCACATCTTCCCACCCATCCGTTCACACCATGTGCAAATCAAACCGTTACTTCCAATTGTCCTCGTCACTTACGGTGACTCATGATACAGTGCCGGTGATTGATTCGGCTCGCTGCGCGTGTATGGTATGTACATCACCCCAACATGATCTCTGTCTTCTGCTGCTCGCTTCGGACCGCTGACGTGGCCCAGTGACCAGCAGGATACTGGACGCGCAAAGCCTGCCGTGCCATTAATAATTTGCTAGAGACGTTCATTGACGACAGACCTCCATTATCTGGGTCAAGTGGACCTTGTGCGTTTGCCAAACGTCCTTCGGATCTCCGGGTGCGCACTTCGCCAGTTTGCAGAGTTTCGACGCGAACGTTTCTTGAGCCATCGTTGCCTTCACCACGAGTGCCTCCACCTTACTGCGCAAGTCCAATGGTTTTATGGCACGGTAAGCAGTAGGCATCTTCTCGTCTGACCAATCTCGTTAGTGAAATATAAGTCGTTCAATCATCAGTAAAACTGACCGGATCTCTCCAGGTACTCTTTCATGAGTTGGACTACCGCCTGGATCCTCGCAACATCCGCGCTATCCAGTATCTAGCAACTTGTCAGCGCATGTCATCTCATTCGCCAAATCAGTGAACACACTCACACGCGTACCCATATTTCTCTAAAAAGAATGACGATGAACGTTATGTGTTCCGGTGGATGGAGGTGGCAGAGGTGCAAGGAGAGGTGCACCAGCACCGGTCAGCGTCCCCGGCGGTCCATTGTCGGTGAGACCCCTGACACTGTACACGTGCTCCTTGCCTCACCTCGGTTAACTCGCCTTTCCGGGTAATGTTTGACCGGGGCTTGTCTTCATCGCTGTACATAAAGGCGAATCTTTGTTATTCGAATTCGTCCAACGTTTAGTCGTTGGCGAGCATGCGCTTGGATTGGCTATTTAGGGCGCTTCTCACACATGCCCCTCAACGCATTGCGTCCGCGAGGTGCCAACGTCGACAGCTCATAAATAGGAGAAAGTCATCTTGCTTAACGTTCCTTACCCTCTTCCATATGCAACGTCAAACCCCCCTCCTGCCCCAGGCGATCGGGCGGTTAAGCCAAACTGAACTACATCCAGTATCCTTTTCGTCCTGAGTTAGTACTACCCCGCCTGAGATCGAGATTCAATCATGGGGCGCTCGTTTCAACGAGCTTTGGCGTTGGATGCGCCTCGTGGGGATTAGGGCCGCATTATGTTCGCTTTCATCACAACCCCTTTCTCACCATGCATCCTGAACGTTTACAGCTTGTGTCGCTGTCTTTGGGCCTGGTATTGATCAGCAGACGTTATCCGATGATTGGCAGACGACTCCCCTTCAACACGTTCATTACATCCTCTTCTCCGTCGTCATCAACGAAATGAATCGTCAGGTTGCTTCTGGAGGTGATCTAGCCGCTCTCCGTGTGGCGCACGATTTGATTTACCAGTTCATGGACGTCTACGTGAGCACAATACTTCACCGCGCGGCCATTCCTTGATCTTTCACCAGCTTCACTATCGCAGAACTGGCCAGTTGCCGCAACTGAGTGTTCCTCTCGCCATCCCCACACGTGAGCAAATGCTGGCGTATTTGGCCGCTGTTCGTCAAGGCGTATCGACTCCCGACCCCTCGTCCACATCCAGTATGGACACGTCTTCCACATCGACGTTCGGTCCTGCTGTTGAACTACCTTACATTAGCCACCCGCCCGGTCCGATTTCGTCTCCCGACCCCAGTGCTCGCAGGAACCCAGTGCAGCAATATGAAGATGATCTACAACGACTACTCGACACGGCTAGCTCGGACGAGAGTATGTCGCTCATCCAGCATCTGCTCGAGGACGTCTCTGTGCCCGACACCCTCCGGTACTCGACCACTACACGTCATTCGACTCCTCCTCTTGCATTTGTTTCAGCTCCCTCAACGGAGACGTCCCTTCCACATCCTGAAATGTCGGACCCGCCTCAACAAGTCGCGACACCAAGGGATCTTCTCATCCGACACGATCGATCATCCGACTTTCCCCAAACACCATCTACAATCAGCTGGCATCCATCTCGCTTGTCGAATCAAAGTTCTGATGAAGCATTTCTAGAACAATATGTTGGCCCACGTTTGCCTGTTACCATGCCGCTTCCTGCCATCAACGAATCGTTACCACTGGCATTTCTGGTCTACTTCTATGAATTGGGCAGTCACGATGCTACTTTATCGACATTAGACGTTTCCCTGGTACCAGAGTAACTCCGTCATACTGTACCTGCCTACATAGCTTGACTGGTCAATGCGACTCTACCGCATCCTCATTGTCCACGGTGATCGATGCCGTCATCTCACGTCATTGCGATTACCTAATTCGCATCCGCTGCCTTGTGAACGTCACCGTTCAGCGACGCGTTCGTTGACCCAATCTCAACCCCTCTCCACCATGTCCATCGCATTGCGCAGGGGTACTTGCTTAGCCTTTCTCGCTTCAAAAGCTCCTGCTGGCAGCTATGTGCAAGTGGTCAATATCGACGTGTTCAAGCAGGCAGATGATACCTTTCAATACATGTAAGTTTGCTTGTTGCCGAATTAGTACCGTCTCCTAACTGTCTCAAACTTAGGCTAGAGATCAGTGATGGTTACGCGACCATCCGGTCATGCTCAGCACCCAGCTTAACACACTTGTGGCTACGAAACAGGTTGCCGTGTGCGCCGTTATTCAAGTGGAGAACTACGTCTGTCGGGCCGTCTGCGGCATTCGGTCCGTCCCCCAGCTTTGTTACTTTAGCCCAGCTCATCACGTCCAGTGTCGTGATCATTAAGAAGATTGCAGCGACCGGAATGGCGCCCTTAATTGTGGGAAATCCCCATGCCATTGACGTTGTCGCACTGTCAGACGATCCGGATGGATTCATTATGGAAGCTGCTGCCTATTTAGCGGGACACACCCCCGCAGATGTTGACAAGTCAGAGGTACGTCGACATGCGCTAGTGTTGAATGATCAGCCATTCACTGACGTTCGTGGCAGACTGATTCCACCGAATCCCAGGAAAGGCCGCCTTCATCCCAACCTGGGCTTGATGGCGCCATCGACGTCAAGCCAAGGTTTCGGGCCAAATCCATCAACAACAGCTTCTCCCTCAAGATGCCGGCGTTAGACCCAGTTGAGTCAGACGAAGAGGGCAGGGATGACCTTGCGGCCGAATGTATCTATGATCGCAAGCATGGTCTGAATGACGACACCAGCAGCGTGGAGGAGTGACCTGTTTGGACCAGGCGATGAGTGCGCATAGCTGCTCGTCCACTAGGTAGTGCAGCTACAGGACTTTCTCACCAAATGTAATTCTACATATTCATCGATGTATTGTGATTAAGCCCAAGCTCTTCCAATGTGAACCACGGGCGGCGGAGTGCATACACATGCCGACGATACCCTGAAAAAGAAGTACAGTCATACTGGCGTTCATTCTGGCGCGGCGCTTCATTGTACCTTTGTTCTTCTCTCACGTCCCTAGCTTGCTGCACTTCTGCCGTAGCGCCTTCGTAGATCTGGACTGATTTGGGTCAAGGGGAACTACATACTGTACTGAAGTGGTGGCTGGTGATCGTTCATCGCAATCGCCTGCGTGCCTGTGGTACTGCCCAATGAGGGAAGATTCGACTGCTGAATGGCACCTACCATCTCAAGAAACTATCAATACCAGCTGTTTGCCTTGCAGGGACGAAATTCCAGCCAAATCTCATGGGATGACGTCGCCCTGCCAAACTCTTTGTCGACAAGGATGCGTGGTAGATGCGGTGGACCACAACGACCAACAGGCTGAGTCAAGATCCAGTCAAGTTACCACGTCTGAATGCAACTCGCGCGTGTGTTCAGATGGTGGTTCCTCCCCTCACAGATATCCACCGTATCATCGGAGATCAGAATCAAGGGATAACGTGGATGCTGCTATTCAAGCGATCATGACAAGTGTCGAGAAGGAGGATGCCGGTAAGCGTCCAACGAGCTGTGAACGTCATAGGCTCACTGTTGTAGAGCATCTCCTCTCGGATCTAGTACATTTCATCTACATGACCGGGATGCACATTCTACTGCCTCATGCCAACCTCCCCATTGCAACCCGAAACATTCTTGCTCGACTGGTCACTGCGGAAACATCGTCGAAACGCTCTTCCGAACCACCACCACCTCGAAAAACATCTAATGGCCATGGCAATCACGTTCCAGACCATCCAAGCGATCCCGAAGACATCTAGCCGTGGGATCTTCGGAACATTCAAGGCGTTCGGTACCATATCCAAGCCGATGGATCCAAGGTTGCTCTGCCTGGCTATGGCAAGTATCATTGGACGCACGCTCGCCTGATTCGCGTCGATCCCGACTCGCCTTCCAGAGCGCGCTGGCCAGAACGCCCTGATAGCTACGTCCCTCTCAAGTTGAGCAACTTTCTGATCAGGCTAGATTTCAATTCATGGCTGGGTCCGTTCTGGTGACCTCTGCAAGCATTGGCAGATCTAACGTTATGATTCCAGATAACAACCTTGGCGGGCACTGCCTCTGGAGAGACCTGCCCAAAGTGCTACTGCGTCAAAAACGGGTACTTGTCGGGGTCACCCAACATATTCCCCTTCCAGGGACTCACGAACAGCCATATAAGTGGTCGACTCTGTCTCAGTGGGCATTCCACGTCGCGATGTGGGATGGAACGATCTTCGTGCGGGATTTGACGTCCGGTTTGTCCTCATTGAATCCCGTTCACCGCGGCATTCTTACATCATTTAGCGGAAATGACGCCTGTGGATCGGCCCCTCGTGCTTTGTACCAACGGCGTCGTCTTCACTGTTGCCGATATCCACGCCATCTTCGGGTTGGATTTCAACCAACCTGTCGAATTGGCAGTACCACTCGAGGCTCCTCCTGTATCTTGGCGTGCCATAGCCGGAGAGATAGAGAGGTCAGATGGTCAAGACATCTCCGATATTCGGCATCCCGGTTTAATCAATCATCGACCTAAGGACAGCGACGACCTTTCTGAATTTGTCTTCACAGCGAGCAACGGCAAGAAACGTCCTTTCATGCACCAACCAGCATCTGAATTCACCTCGGCAACTACAACGTTCGTATCGGACGTTGCGCCGATGAAGAGGAAGAAGTCGTCACAGCAAACCCGTCGCCGTCCACGACAGAGCCAGCACCTGAGCTCAGCATTAGGCTGCTCCGCTCAGGAAGGGACCAAAGACCCAGTTCCGCAAGAACGGCCTTCGCCAAGCTTCCAGTTTCTTCATCCCAACCCACCATCGTATCGAGATAATCGCACAACCAACCGATTACGAAGGAGACTCGACGTTGCTGCTCTTGAGACCGGCTACGCCCCGTCGTCTAGCGCACTCCCTCCAAAACCGTCGAACTCAATCGGTTCGGTCGACGTCATGATGCTTTCGATGGATTACAACTTGATCGAGGACGTCAATTTTTACCTTCCAATCTCAGACGCGTTCGAAGCTTATTGGTCCGCTCCTCTCCATGGCGACAATATTGCTCAGTCGGTATGGGTCAGTCCAGCGCTGGGCTCGAATCGGCCGACCCTGAAAGCTGAGAGCAAGGGGTTTGCCGCGTGGATACGTCATCAGGCACGGTGGAAAGGCAGGCACGGTGAGATTCTTCCATACGTCCAGGCTTACACGGAGTATCGCCAGTTTATACTATCATCCGCCTGATTAGATTTGTACTCTGTCGTCCCAAGTGCAGGCTAGTCTCAGCGTTCAATTCACGCGCCGGAGGCTAGTAGGATTGTATATATATATATATATGTATTAACAAGCTAATGAACACGCTATGTAGTTTACGTCTGACGCCTGCGTGGTCTCCCGCGTTTTGCAGGCGCAGGAACCGTGAGACGATGAGGAGACCTTCCCGTCTGATGAGTGACGTTCCGACTGACGTCCGAAAAAGGTACATACTTTTGCTTGTATGGACTTGCTGCCATTCGCCTGAGAGATTCATTTGCTGAGATTGCATGTCAACGCATACAGAGTCACTCACATTGATCGCCGCACGTGAACATCAAGTACTTGGGCACCACCACGTCGTAAGGGCCTGCGACCCTCTGGAGAATGTGCGGAGGATGGTTCTTGCCGAGGGTCAGACAATGTCGCTGTGCTGAGGGACTTCGTCAGAAATCAATCCAGGATGGAGCACGAAACGCCACCTTCTGGATGCACTGCCTGTGCATCACTCATCAGATCAATTCACATGACGTGCGGAGAACTGTACCTTGAGCAACATTCTCCCTGCACACCGGCGAATCAATTTGGAAGACATCTTCATCTGAAGGTGGAGGGGACGTGCATGGCTCATCACCAAAAGGATTCCATCTTGTCGGGGTGTCACAGACCTCCCCGTTGGATGTGGCTGTTCGGGAGCGGAGTGATCGAATTGAGCGAGGTCAACGTATACTGGTCCGTCTGCTGGCTACAGACGTTTGTGTTGTCCGGATTATGGGCTGTCTTCCAGCTGGAGTTGTGGGAGGTTGATTTGCCGGGGCAGGAGACAATCCAAGGTTTGTCATGTCAAAGTGGAAGGGCTCGACTTGATCGGGAGGGGTGAAGAACGTGAACTCTTCCTGGAACTCTTCTTGTTGTTCGCGAACAAGGGTATAAGTCTTCAACATGTCCATAAATGACATGTGTTCCGGATCTGAGAGGGAGACGTCAATCGGGAGACGTCCAGGCTGGACCGAAACTGATGCCCAGTCGAGCAGGGAGTTCGATGTTTCATGCTCTTGTTCAAGGTTAGTATACATATCGGTCGGGACGTCGCGACCCTACCGTAAAGGCTCATGAGATACGTCTGCAGCATGACTGCAATCTCTAGCTGATTCCATGCTGAGTCCAAAGGTGGAAGGATAGGGCGGTTGCAGGTATCTCGCTGCAAAGTCGGTAGTATTCGCATAGGAGCTTGTTGCGACCGGGATTCGGCGGGGACTATAACGTTTAGACTAAATGGGGTACAGAAGGTGATCACGTACTGGTAGCTTTCACAAAGTCCTTCCATGCCTGCATCATGCCGTCATGATGACGCACGTTGTACTCCGAAAAGCCAAGATTGGCAGATGTTTTACCAGAGTCCACGCTGCCGATGTGTAAGAAGGAACCAGATGAGAATAGCAGTATAGGCTTACTGTGTTACGGCTCTGGCACCTGATTTATCAACTCCGCCAGCAAGAGTGAACAGGACCCAGCCTGTACGGGCGCTTACAGCTTTGTGAAAAGCTGCTATTGTAGCAAAAATCTTCTCGGAGGGACTCGTGGGACACGTCAGTAAGAGCCTAAATGGCGTGAAAGAACATACCATCCCGACGTCTGTTTCCCTTCAATGAGAACGTCGGGGGTTCCTCGCTCCTTCAACGCTCGCTCCACATACTCCTGCCGTTGCTCAGGCAAGAGCTGGTGCTCCCAGTATTGCTTGAGGAACTCGGGACGGGCTTGGAAAGAAGGTTTGTTCACGCCAATAGCAAAGTCAAGCAGCTTCTGCTTGAAGGAAGGGACGTCCGCAACCATGGTTGGTCAGCGGACAAGGACGGTCGCCAATGTTTGCCAGCCTGACCAACGGGTCGCCGAGATGCGCACGACTGTTCTTCAGAAACACATAGATCTGCTAGACGTCAAGTGAGCCGAATGACAATATGATAAATACAGATCATCGTACATTGCCAACATCGCCATTTTCTTTCTTCGGGCGGTACTGAGGGAAAGCGTGTTGGAAGGCAGAGGTGATTTCGATGGCGTATTGCTTGCCCTCTCGTCTGTCTGCTCGTGACGAGAACGCAGAGAGACGCTCTTCGAGCCAACCCCTCTGCTCCAGATCGAAGTTGACCATGAGCAGGAGTCAACGTTCGGCGAGTAGTACCCAAGTTCATTCCCTGGTCTTATGCGGTCAAGCGAGGAGATGCTCCGCCAATCCCAGGGACATCCGCTGTCATGAAAACCATGATCATAGGTGATTGAAGAGCGAGTCGTCACCATTGAAAAAAAACGCCTTTAGATGACAGAGAGAAGCAGGACGTTTCGAATAACACGAGACAGGCACGACTATCGGTGTGATGTCGGCCAGAGTCATCAAGGGATGACACATGAGAGACACGTTGCCAATCGGGAGTAAAAGGGTTTCAGGTGGCCGTTTTGCCGGTCGCCAAAAGAAGCAACGGATGGGTGGCTGTGATGCAGTGGAGGACGCGCCGTTAACTCCGAGTCTACCCTCATGTCAAGACCAATGAGACATCTCCATTTGGTTCACTTGTTGAGCATGTCTGTTGACCCACCACACTAGCTAGCTAAACTGAGGACGATAATGAGCCAGAAGAAAAGGAAAAGTGCCAATGTGGTGTTGCTTGATCACATGCCCCAAAATTGACCATGCAGAGCCCAACCCTCATGACTCTCAGAGCATCAGTTTGGGGAGTTGTGGATATTGGTGGGGGTCAACACCAACTGATGGGGAATGCTGACTAGGCTTTGTCCTATCATGCATATCAGCTGTCCATATAGTGGAGTTCTGAGCATCAAGAAAGGTGGCACATAGCAAGTGAGAATGCAATACTGAGGGGCTTGTCCATATCAAGGGGAATCAGCTGTTTGGCTGGGCTGAAGGTCCAATATCATCCTGAGATAGGGCTATCAACCAGAGCTTGAGTTGTCCAAGAGGAGGACTCAGCATGTCAGTTGAGCAATCGGCTGCTCAGAGAGGTACAACAAGTAAATTGAGGTAATTGTGAGTGGAGGATGCTCTCTCAATGTTGATATCAAAGAGAGCGTCACACTATCAGGCACACTTGGCTTCTCAAGGGAGATCAGTCATAAGACCAGAATATCAACTAGACAGTGGAATTCCTGAGAGATCAAATCTAAGGAGTACATCACTCTGCTCATTGCATTTGTGACAAATGTGAAAATCTCCAAGGATACAGAGATCACCATCTCTTATAGCATGTCCAAGGTTAGCATCTAATTACCAAGCATCATAGTTCCCTGCTTAAAATGTATAGGATGGTGACAAAGAGGGACAGTGCTGCTGCAACAATCTGAAATACCATAAGTACCTGCTTCCTCATATCAGGCAAAAGGGCATTTGATTTGGTTTTGATAGCTGCAAGAGCTGAGGTCATGCCCAGGTTTCTCTTGCATAGTATTCAGATACAATATCATTATGCATCTATTTAGGAGTATCTTGTTTGCTTGATGAAGACAGTGCATTGTACACAACCATAGTGAAGAAACCTCACTAGAGTTTGTTACCCTATCATCAATCAGGATGTGTAATCTAGTCTCAGAGCAACCTCTAACTGGTGTATGATAGCACTGGTTCTTGCACCTATGCTTGTTCCTAAGCCCATGGATATGGAATATGCTGGGGTAGATACACAAGCAGGACAAGTCCTCAAGAAGTTCTATCCCTCATCAGAGTAACTACAAATATCAATAAGATTGAACACAGGATTCCATCTATCATATGGCAGCTCTCTGGAAGCCAGCTGCTGCCACTGCGATTTGCTGTTTGAAAGCAGTATTAACCTATATAATAGCAATCTGGACTTAGTCACATACCTCAGGTGTACATTCCAGATGGAGGCTGTATGGCTAATTTTAAACAAGCTTTCCATCTTTATTCCTTTCTGAGCTGGATGTTGGGCTTCTTCCCACATGGGATAGAGACAAATGTGCAGAAATTCTTCCTCTCAGTTTTGCTAGTTTTCTGCAAATATCATGCTTCTTACTTCATGTTAGGGCAACACAGGCTGACTAAGTCTGCTCACCTAAGAGTGCCAAGAGTCTAAG